TTTGCCCATCAACCTTCAGAGCAGGCACGCGCCACTCATTTCTTAGCAAGGTGACTTGCCTGGTTCAGCCTCGAGCCAGTGCATATCCTATCTGTACGCTGCAGGTACACGGCTGCCACCACATCTCCAACCGGAAACTTCACGCTACTATCGCCAGGCTAACAACTCGAGTCGCATCCTGCTGTCTACTTGGCATCCCACGCAAGCTGAACGAAGCCGTTGACCCCATTGCCCTGACCAGAAAGGCTGACGGATCGAAGCGCAAGCGAAAGATAGCACCGCAAAGCAGGCAGTATGCTTTCCACCTCGTCACTCATCAGCCACGGAAGGCATTCCTGCAAATGGGGTGCAGACTGCAGAAGCCTAGCATGTAGCGAACCTCTAGTCTCTGGCTTGCTCGCACACACGACGTTCAATTCCGCTCTCCATGATGAGGTGGATCCCCTTCTGGTAGCAAAGGCGACCGCAGAAGCCAATGAGGCACAGCTTGGGATCCTGTGCACAGGATCAGAACTCGCGGGTCGAGCCGGCCATCATGGTGAATCGAGAAATCCGCTGAGACAAAGGAGCACGAGCGAAAACTACGTCGAACACAAAACAGCAAGTCAGCAAAGTCTCCTAGAGGAAGCAACACGCAGCACAATGACAAGGACCGCAAACTCAGATGGAGCTGCAGCGCGACACGTATCATAGAGAACCCAGCAGACGCCGTCCCCGGCAGCTTCTTCAAAGAGCACACGGCAAACATCCTGCACACACATGTCTGTGGCCTGTTGAACACAACCTTTGTCCAGTCAAGCGTGATCAAGTGTGCGAGATTCCAAGACAGACAACCACGACCTACCACGGAGCCTTTATTTCTTTTCCCACACAGGAATCTGCACACGCAGCAGGCTCGAAACAGCAGAAAGAGCGCAACACTTCAAGCTTGAAGAAAACGAAGCTCCAAAGCACAAGATTCTCAGCTTGGCTTTGCTGTACACATATGCAGTCTCGTTGCGGCAATTATCGCTTTGCTTTTGCTATCAAAGCCTACAGGCTTCATACTTCTACAGCACAAACAAAGCCTTGGCTCCAGAATAAAGACTGCATGAGGAACATCGAAAAGCGCACACACGTCCGTTTAGCTTCGTGTGAGTTTTGTCGTTGATGAGTTTGTCGCGCCGGTCCCGGCCTGCTGCAGGCCCAGTTGTCGCTGGAGTTCCGCCTGACGTGGACCAGCCGGTTCCACGTTGCTTGCTTTGCTAGAACTTACTCCTTTGACACTAGCTGCATGTATGCCATGACTCGAAACGACCTTTAGCTGCTAAGCTCTTGCCGACAACACGAGGTTGCAATCACGAGGTTGGTTCGGTGCTGCACGCGTGCCATGAGTGCCTTGCAGCGGAGCTTGCCGTCTTCGAAATTGCTGACACCATATCCTGAGTTTGAGTGCTTTCAACCCGGGCCTGGCCTCACCTTCTCTCGCCTTACGACCCGTCACGGCCCTTTCGTGCCCAGTTCGCGGACATTTTGCTTCAATGCGAAGGCTGCAACATGCAAATCTGTAAAAATCGCTCTCTTGCAGCCACCAGCTCCCACCTACCATTCACATTTGCAGCCATAAAAAAAGAAACTACTCAGGTCCGGACGGACTGCTATGTGGGGATCTGTCATGGGATTCCACCTGAAGGAATGGATCACCACAACGGCATGCTGAGAATCCAAGCACAAAGCAGCTGAGCCCTCGGCTCGTCGGAGATGCCGTTCAGAATCCCCTTGACCTTGCTCGCCCCAAGAATCTCCGCCACCAAGGATTCAACACGAGCTGCATTCTGTGTGCCCGGCTCTGCGCATAGAGGCCTTGGCTTTGAGCGCCGAGTGAAGTCCCAGCCCGCCTGCAAGGACCGGCAATGCGGCCGACGGCCGACTGGGCTGCACTGCATCCCTTTTCGGATCCGCTTGTTGAGCAGTGACGTGGTGAAACGGACCTGTGAAAACCCTCAAGCCTTGGAGCCTCCGTGTTCGCACGCATCGTCCTCCATCAACTTCCTGCAACCCTCAGTCTTCAGCGCAGGTGCCCTCTGCAGGATACGCACCCATATGTATGTCATCAGCTGAAAACAAACCAGTGACGCAAGCAAGGCTAGCCAACTTGCGAGAAGTGTGTGATACAGCCAACTTGTAATGAATGCCTCGAAAAGTATGAAGACCAGCATCACTGATGCCAATAGACATTCCAGACAAAACCAGAGTTGTGTATCGGAGCCTGCATTCGACTCCTGTCTCTGGAATGTCATTGCCAAGGACATCTGAATCTGTGCCACCATGCTGCTCAGAAGAAAAATGTGGTCAGAGAAATAATAATTGTATGGATGTACGCAGATGAATATGACAATTCGCAGTCCCGTCAGGGACAGCCACCACATGAGTGCGAAAAGGAGCCACGAACCACGTCCGCACCATGTACACAGGTCTGCATCTGTTTGGTTCACTGTTCCAGTGCAGATCTGGATGACAAGGAGAAGGTACGGAAGCATCGGTCCTTCGCCGGAGATCACACCGTTCACCTGATCTGCTATCCGTGGCAACCACCATGTCTGCTCCACAGTGGCATGCCCAATAGGTCGTTGACAGGTAAATTCACTGTGATTTCGGCGTCCTCCTTGCATACATTGCATGGACGAACCACCAAGAAACCCGAGGTACGGAAACACCGTGGCAACCAACAAAGCGGCAACCAACAAAAGAAGCGGCAGCGGAGGGTGTAGGCACCAAGTGCATGTCGATCTGTAAGCCATGAGGCGAAGCAGGAATTCGAAGGCAGGCGGGAGCTTAAGCAAGCTGATACCTCTTCGCACGTGTTACAAACGTCCCCAGAGGTTCGAGCCCCTAAACCCTCCACTCTCTGCTCTGTCACAAGAAAGTAGTCTAGAGTCCTAGAGTTCAGGACTTTGTCGTTGTCGGAGATGCAGAGGGGCTGCGGCAGGGTTGTCAATGAGAGAGTGAGGGAGAGAAAGAGAGAGAGCGAGCGGGAGAGAGAGAGAGAGAGAGAGAGTGAGTCAGAAAGAGGCCGAGTATAGATATGCAGCAGGCAGGAAGTCAGAGAGCGCGAACTAACTCACCAAACTGCTGACGATGAAGCGACAAGCCTTGGCTCGGAAAAGGAAGGCCAGCAGCAAACTATGACTGGACGGTCTTATCCGCCGAGGCCACAGGCCCAGGCGTCTTGGGGGTTAGCTCAGGTTCCCTCCACCTAATCCTCCTCCCTGCGGTCCAAATGTTTGGGGACACCCGCTTTCCCCCCCCCTCTCCCCCCCGCTTCCCCCCCTCCCCCCTGCCCCCCCCCCTCCCTCCCCCTGTGCCGATACACCCACAAGGAATACTCCTTGTTAGGAGGTGTATGACCAGTTATTCCCTAAGGATCAAAGGGCAGCGCCCTGCACACGGACAGTAGTTGTTTTGTCTTGCTACGCAAGGAGAGCTTGTCTTGTCTCAATATGGTAAAACCACTGTGAGCCAATGGGCAGCGGAATGTATATGTATGAGCATGCAGCCATTGCTGTAGGTACCTGTTAGAGCTACCCCTTTAGAGGTTTATGGTTTCAAACAGACACTAATTTTCTTTTACCGGAAGCATGGCCGCACATTCACACATATACTATTATGCCCACTGTCACAGTTGCGGAGTCTGGACTCATGATGAAAACAGCATATTATTTAAGCTAGGTATAGCACTGAAGTACACTGCTGAGGACACTCCTTTTGCACACACTCATGCATGTTGGTCAGAGAGATCGTCTGTACAAGATCATGTCTGGTGATATTTTCTACATCGAATTATGCAGCCCTTCACTTTGCTCTTGTTAGAGCTTTGTGAGTCACTGTTGTGAAACTCCGAGATTTTTCCTTATCTCAGATTTGGATCCAGGTTTGGATCATAGGCTCGAGCGTAGACGTTCGGATGTGGCTCATCCGGGTCTGAGTGATCTTCTTCGGAACTTGAATAAATTCCGAGTAGTCTGTTCTCAGCCCTGGTGAAGGCGGCGTCTGCAGTATCATATCCATGGTTGGATGTTGTCGCCTTTGGCTCGGCCTTTGGCGCAGCTTGTGAGCTGACTGGAGTTGCCTTGGCTTTAGCCGGTTGTGGCTGCTTAGCCTTTGCCCGTTCAGCCCTTCTTCTTTCAAGCTGTCCGTCTGAGGACGCCCATGATCTTTCACTTTCATCTCCTGAAGGAGATAAGGCGTGGGCATAAAGGCTATTCCAGTACTGTGCTGCAGAAGGAGTTAGGACTTCTTCATTGTCAGATTCTGACTGGTCTTCCTCAGAGCTTTGGTCGTCAAAGAGTGTCTCGAGGACATTTTTGAGATTGTTATTTCTTCGCTCTATCTCTAGTGAGGAATGGACCAATTGGTTAAAGACTGTCCTTGAGTCCTTCAGTGCTGTTAGAAGGATTTCCACTCTGGATAGAGTATCTTGGATGGTGTCAAGATGTTCCTTCCTTTCCTCCTTGTCTCTCTGGATAGAGCTTCGCAATGATTGTGCGATTCTGAGGAGGTCTGTGTATTTCGTAAGAGGCATAGTTACCGTTTGATTGTCATGTATGACAGTTGTTTCGTCGCCGCTTAAGTTCCTGAATAGGACTTCCACGACTGGTAGAAACTCCGTGCTCCACGGTTCCTCTTCATCATATGTTTCTACGTGCTGTAGCACGCGTTGTGTAAACTGGCCGGCTGCTTCTACCGTTGCATCGATAGAGCTGACGTGTCTTGCTGCCATGTTTCGGCACGTAACGTTAATTGCCTGGCCTTGATTGGCTTCGTTAAGTGCAGCGTCTGCATAGGTGCAGAGTCCACTGTTGTGGGCTTCTCTGGCTGCCTTTCGTTGAATGCGCCGATTTTGACCTCCTCTTCTGGTAGGACCTTTTGGTCTCGGAGGATCTGAAGGTACTGTTCCTTTCGCCTTTGGCGGAGGACTCTTAGGTGGAGGTGACATGTTTGCCTTGTTAGGCACTGGTGGCATTGCCTTGGGCGCTGACGACGATGCGGCACTTGAGAGTGCAGATGTACCTTTGGCTTTTGCCGAGGATCCCTTGGGGATCGATGTATAGGTAATCTGCATGGCTTCTTCGGCCATTTGTGCATGCAATGCATCTTTGAATAATTGCGTCATATGAGGAGTGGTACTTGCATCATCGTAGGTCTGGAAGCGCTCAATGTCTCTTTCGGTGCCACGTGGACGTGTATCACCTCTTTGAAAAGGATCGTTCCTGCGAATCTCCGCAACTTGTACTGCATGGAGGCAGTTTTTGCACAGCACCTTCCTGCAAACATCTCTTGCTTGCTTGAGCTGGTAACAGCTGTCTGAGAGATGGTAGACTTCGCTTCGGGAAGTATGCCAGATAGGTCGCAGATCAGTTGTTTCTCCGGAATTGACCCTGTTGGGTCCTAAAGGTTCACGCGTCTGCGGTTCATCCTCGGGTTCGAGGAATGGAACTCTTTGGTTCGCTGCTGCTTTTGATTTTGGTTGTTGGCGCTCCATACATCTGATAGGAGGCCTGGTAATCTGCTTCCACATCCAGTGTAAGCCCATTAGCAGCAGAAACACATTCCACGCGATGCTGAAGACGGAGAAGTCCTGCTCACTGGTTAGTGAGTTTGGAAGTGAAGTTTCATCAGTCTTGATAGACTCTGCGTTCGCTCCACCTTGGTTGCGGTGTCCGAACCAGCCCGACAACCCCGCTGCTGTAGCAGCTGTTCTGAGTGCCTTGCCGCTCGGAGCAGACGGTGGACGCGATGCCTTCCTTCTTCTCCTCCGGCTGGAGGATTCGTCCTCTTGTTCCTCTTCATCTCTCTGAGCAGACATCAAGTTTGATGTTTCTCTTTCGTGTTCTTCGATGTCACTTTTTGTTGGTGACGGTTCTTCTTCTAGTCCATCCAGCTCTTCCAAAGACATGTTGAGCTTGTCAACAATATTGGTTCTTTGAGGCCTGGACCTTGATCTTGGTAGATCTTGTTGTGAAGAGGACGATGATTCCTGGTTCCTTCTTGGAGGAGGACCTTCAGGCTCGCTGGGACGTTCAGGCTGTGGCCATTCCCAGAATCTTCCGTATCTGTGATGGCTACCTGATGGTTGCGATCTGTCGTACCAGCTGTTGCCGGATGAGTAAACGAATGAATCTTTGTAACCCCAGTATTCAGCATTACGCTGCTTGAAAGCCTTTCGCTTGTCAGCGATCTTCTGAACCTGGGCATCTGACCGGTTGTGTTTCCCTTTTGTAAGGATTGGTTGTATCGTGAAGCCCAAAGGGCTGTGCCAATCTTTGTCAGAGGGACTCAACCATAGGTCAAGGTTAGAAAAAGTTGAATAGTACTGCTTGACTGAGACAAACAGACGGATATCAATATCCCTGTTATTGTTCATGTCCTGCCACATATCTGAGATTCGCTCCCAGTATGTTCTTTCGGCGGCAGGTGTAACATCTCTTGGACTAGGTGACGCCGTGTGCGGCGTTTTACTCCAGTCAAGGATATAACTGTTGATACAGTCAAGGTCAGCAACTTTCTTCGCCGGGTCCGCCGGTAGACGATCTGCACGTGCCAGTCTGTGCTGGTCGGAGTTGTTCAAGCAAAGATGTCGCACTTGTGAGTGCCTTCCTGCTATTTTGTTGAATGCTGCAAGTTTCTTCTCCAGGTATAGAGAAAACAAACTGTTTCGCGGGTGAACGTCTCCACCTTTTAAGGTGAGCCTCGACGCAATATTATTGAGATCTCCCGCTATTACATCCGGTTTAAAAGGGAGAATCTCGTTGAGGAACGCGTTCACCAGTTCGCGTCTCTGTTCTTCCTTATGAGTCATGAATGAGTTGAAATGGACGATCGCGATGGTGATGACCTTGTAAGGCCCTTTTGTACACCACATCTCGTCAAGATCGTTCGATGCTTCTTGTGAGAAGATCTCTGCGTATGACTCAAAGTCTTCCTCTGGTGGCTCATCACCCTCGACATGGCCGTTCCATTCACAGAGAATCGGCGAGGGGTCGAGGTTCGACAGTGTCAGGCACGCCTCTGGTGAGAGGTAAGAGCCATCAGTGGGTCCATCCTTGTCAGGATTTTTGCCCTTGAGTGGGTCATATCCGATAATCTGCATGAACTCGTCTCTCGTCATCCTTTGGCCAGAATATGGGTGGACCCATTCTTTTGCCTCTGGTATGGTACTGTGGTACCCAAAGGTGAGGCGGCATACCGCACCGTGGCATGCCCACAGTCGCTTCTTGGGACCACCATTCTTAGGTTTCATTGTTCGATGACGATAAAAGTGGTGGACGAGAGCGATGTCTGTTGTTGGGTCACCCTTGACTCCAATATACATCGAGGGTGCCTCAGGCTCCTTGGGAGGAGAATGGATTAGCATCCCCCTGTATTCATGTTGTCGCATGGTTGCGATCGAATACTCTGACGCAAGTGCTCCTGCCTCGAGTACGAGGGTAATATGAGCTGAATTGTTGAAGCACATGTCAATAAGAGGGTGATAATCGAATCCCTTCTCAGGTTTGAGCTTCTTTTTGGGATTCCCTGCGGGCACCGGCGCTCGATCCATATTTCCCCAGTTGAATACCACTAGGTTTAGCGATACGCTGTCTGGGTTTGAGCCTTCAATGTATTCTCTCTTCTCGTTAACACCGGCCATCCTATTGCGAACTATCTCGTAATGTGCGTCGAGCACCAGTTTGTCTTCGTAGCCAGTAAGAGAGAGAAAAGAAGCCGGGTGGCTTGTTCTAGAGTCCTTGATATTGATGTG